CGTACTACTACTACTACTACTACTGCTGCTGCTACTACTACTACTACTACTACTACTACTACTACTACTACTACTACTACTACTACTACCTCCTTTAAGAGGGAAACAACAGCAAGAACTACAACTCATGGTTCAATACAAACCTGTCTGTCCTCAATTGCCCAGAGACTCAACACAACAGGGAGCTTACACGGCTTAACCCTTTCTACAGCTATTAACTTCAAGGGCACCACCATCACAGCTAATATCCACCTACTGTAATGAACTCACGTGCAATACATGGACGGTTCGAAATATAATAATAATAATGACGACGACGGCCAAAACCCACGAAAAAATATATATACTTTATTAACATTGTCCATATCGATTTACGCTGGACAGAAAAGGGCTCAACAATAATACTACATTCACGAGATCACCATAGAGAGAAGCTTCACCGCAGTCCACGACCGCCGGCCTGCGCAGATATAGCAGTCCCCTTCTGAAACAGTCGCTTGAGCTCCGTTTCCCTATCACTTTCCTCATCCGAGCTACTATCACTACAACTGCTCTCTCCACTACTCGAACTGCTAGAGCTACTGGAGTTAGCCCGACGGCGCCTCCTCTGCATCTCTTGGAGTTGCTCCAGTGCTCTTTGCTGCGCCACTATTTCCCGAGCTCGCTCCTCATTTTCCTTCACTTTCTGATTACGAAGGTTCAATAGTCGCGCCACATAGCGTTTCAAATTCCTCTGGTCTCTCGGGGCCATCATGTCCACATCTAGCTCCTGCAGCATCCCCGTAAAAGGATCTAGTACGACTCCAGGACAGTTACGCAGCTTCTTATCCACTACTTGACAGAGATCATCAGGCGTCAGTTGATTCATGTCCTCCTCTAACTTAACTTTCTCCTCTGCTGTCAAAGGCAAAGCCGGCCCTCTAGGGCCCCCCACACTATCCCTTCTAACCGACCCACCACCGCCGCCGCTCACCCGAGGGGTCTCGCTTAGATTCGACACGAACTGCGTCAACTGTGATATCTTATCCTGGAGCTGCTCTATCTGAGCCGTCAACTCTGACTCTGTCGTCTTCGACCCGGCACCGCCGGAATTTCTGCCTCTTTTCCGCGCCTCCTTAGAACTCCCCTCATCTTTACTCTTGTAAGCAACTGATTGTTTGCCACCCTTATGCCCTCCCCCTCCACTAGACTGGTGCCTATGGGGCGCGCTCGAAGCCGAAGTCGTCTCTGGGGGCTCGTCAATCATCGGATATTGAACTTCCACATAGTCCGCATTCTCAATGCGATATGATGCATCAAACATCAATTCCGTGCACAATTTATTCAACCGCTCCGCCGCCTTGAACGGCTGCGAATCTTTAGGGTAATTTTTCAATGCAAATCTTACAAGTAAACGTAAGTCTCTCTCCAACTCCAAATGTGTAATGTACTTCCCCTCTTCTACCATATGCCGCACATGGGCCAAATTGATGGGCAGCTGGCACGCACTAAAGCTGACCCCCTCCACTTGCCGAGGCAGAACCGGATGACTGAACCAATATGGTATACTATCAGCACCGGAAAATCCCTGATCGCCCTCAATAGTGTTCAACACTCCCATGAAAACTGTTTTCAAATGAGCGCCGTCCTCACCAGCTCTCGCCGCCAATCCTCGAGGCATCACTATACGAGCTCCCGGGTCCTTTCCACTCATTAAAATAGCACTACCGGAAGTCATAGTCGCTGCTGCTGCTGGGACGTTAACAGGCACACTATCCTTCTTTACTGTAGAACCTCGCCTAGGTAGAAGCCCCATCCTTTGCTCATCTACAGAGCTCATCTTCATACTTGAGCTCGCGGACTGGGACGGAGCACTTCCACTTTCTCCCTGAGGCTTACCAAGTCGAAATAGTTGATCAATTTTTCTATTTTTTTGCTAGTCAAATGCCACCACAATATTCACTAGAGACGAAACTCATTGAAAGGCTCATGGGAGAAACTGGTCTTCATACTAACAAATCGAATCTCATTTCACAACTTGAATCGATCGGAATATTTTACCCACCGTTTACTACCCTTTTTCTCTTCCCCATAGTGCAACTCCTCATCACAGGAGACTTCTCGCTCGCCCCGTCAGCAGTGCTGCCCGAAGACTCTCTACTCCTCCTTAGAGCCGAGACCGTCGCCGCGAAGGACAGCTCAGCTTGAGGCGACGCGGGTGGAGTCTTCACTTCCTCAAATGCAAATCCGCTGCCTTCCAAACACTCCCGCGCCGATTCCAACTCGGGCAAAGACAGAAAAAGTTCTCCCCGAAATGAATAGCCGGCGGGTTTATGATTAACGTTTGAGTCCAACAAGACGGTACCTTGGGTACTCCCAACGTTGATCGTCTCAACCTTCACCGACACTCCACTTTCCTCTGCCGATAAAGCAGTTGAATTCAAATCTACGTCCGCAACGATTGATTCAACCGAAGCAGTTGCCACCTCCGGCGTAATGATATTGTTCATACCGGTCGAGCGAAAACTCTTCAGAGAAAAGTCCCTCATTTCACTTGGACACGATATTTTTATCAACGCAAATGGAGTAAAGAAGGAGAAATCTGGTATGTAACAAAAGGTGCATCGGAGACCGCATCGCATACCGTAAACTCGCCAAATCTTTCTCTAATGAGCTTTCGTGTATTTCTTGGAAGGCTTAGCTCCCTTGCCCTTCTTCGGCCCTTCATCCTCCTCCGCAGTTGCCTCCATGAACTGATCGACAAGTGCTGAGAAACCGCTCTTGTGTGGATTCACGCCACCAAACGGCCGTCGCAGTGCTCTGATGAGAATAACAAAAAACAAGCTCAAGCAAGTAGTGACGTACCTATGGTCGTGGGGGTCCTGTTCCAATATATGCAGCTTGAAGACCTCCGAATCTGTAAGAGTCATTAACGCCATGACCGAGCTCAGGATTAATGGTTGGACGTAACCCATCCTGTAGTGAATAAATACGACCTGAAACTCACGACGATTCGCCTCCCCCTCGAGACTTCATACGAAGTACGTACGGCGATATACAACCCCAGGAGCTTACAATGACGATTTGTATGAGCTGATTCTGCACGAGGTCCATCAACTTGTTGGTATCATATTGTTTAACTGTCATTGCTTCGACCGGTTCCATCTGGCCTAGACCTGCCCACATGCGACATGCGACCCTCGAGGGCCTTGGATATGTTCTTACCCGCGTCCTTCTCGTGAGCTGGAACGATCTCCTTGTCTCCCTCTGTGTTGCTCCTTATACTTCTATAAATCATCAAAAACACGCCCGTTTGAGCTACCAACCGGATGGCAAAAACGACTCGGCCGATTATAGTCATTTGGTCCTCGCTGAGAGGCAACTGCTTGAGCAGGAGCAAGACGCCTATGGGGAGCAGAGCACGCCAGATCTTCGGTTTCTGTGGAGGCATCGGCTGAGACTCGTTCTTCCGCTTGGACTGGGCCATATTAAACGCAAAGGAGATACACTGGTTGGCTACACCCACTATGCGGCTGGCGATATTGCTACTTCACCCTCTGCTCATGTGACGCTCTAGTTAGGCTTGGTCGCAATAAAGCATTTCTTAGTGAGCGCCGAAATCGTAATAATAAGGAGACCACTAAATCAGTTTCCTTGTAAGTGTAGGGAACTTCCGACGAGGAACCCCCAAGAGGCTATAACGCTATGAGGCACTCGTCTAGAGGTCTTCTAAACGACCCGGCTGAGTGCTCGGAGGTCGCAAGAAGCGACTTTCCCAGACGGGCGAGCGAGAGAGTTTTAAGCGGAGCGAAGCAGTTCATCTTTCCATTTTTTGAGCGGAGCGAAGCGATCAACGTAACTGAAATCGGGCGACCACCGTTCGTTGCTGCTGTACCCATGCTCATACCTGGCTGCCTATGGGGAGGTGGACACAGTGTACCATTGACAATTACGAACTACGAGTGGTGCCCCCACTCAACTGTAGTCATTACGGCATCTCCCCCTCGTTGTAATGATGTATCCCATCACGTTTACCTCACATAGACGTCTCTCCTGGGGGACATCTATGTCCGTCACAGCGGAGCGGTGGAGTGATGAGTACGATTTCTCCTACAACGCAGCAAGTATTACTGCTAGCTCAGGGATCTACACAGGACTCGTCCCGGTTAAAAAATAGGGCGAATACCACACCAATGGCACATCAGAATTGCGAGGAAGCGCCCTCAGGTTGCGTCCACTGTCCTAGTTCGCTATCTCTTCGACACTGTAAGGAACATACCCCTGTAGTATGAGTTCGCCACTTCTACCAGTATGCTGTTCGTGACCTGGTCGCCTCTGCGTTGTTAATAGTGCTCCATCGTGTCACTTGCAGTTGTATTTCACGTCCTGTTATCACTCGCCGTCTCACCGATGCTAATACTAAGAGGGAAGGAGTACTACAAAGGGCGATCCCATAACATTGGCAATTTCGCTGTATCGGCTTTTATACAAGGGTGGTCAATACTATATTAGTGCTTCTAGGAAAAATGATGGATTTCTTATTGGAAACACTCTGGCCTCGACTCGAGTTCTTGAGAGGAGAAACAGATATGAGGCTCGTTTAGGGAACGGAGTCGTTCGGTCCATGTCGGCATCGTCGGGAGGAAAGAAAGCGCAGGTTCTGAATGCTTTGCTGATAAGACTTGTGTATTTGACCACGAGCTGCAATGGCAAGGGTCTTGGAGGGCAGCCGGGCGCGTGAGAGGTATCTTGTAGCGCTTCAGAGTTTGGCGGTTGAAAATTTTAGAGTAGGGGGGACTGAGATACTCATGATGGTGTTGGACAGGCAGGATTGGACGATCAATGCTCAGGAATATAAGCGGCGCGAAGCAATCGTTCCGAGCTGTATCAGAAAACTAAGGACTGGGGGTGCCGAGGTTGTTGTAGGTGATAGGGTGGGCTATGCGTGGGCCGTCTTCAATCGTGAAAAGTCGACCGGCCAGTAGTACGTTGAATTGGCTGCCAAGGATGTTAAGAGTGTTTTGCAGCAGAACTCGAACGTCGGTTGAGTGCTAAAAGGCACGGTCGGAGGTGACTGTGAAACGACATCTCTGAGGGGGTCTGACGGCGATGGCTCTCTCATGGAGTTTACACTTGATGAACTGTGGACAAAGGCGGTGGCGTCAGGGAGAGGCCTAAAGAGTGTGATATGATTAATGAATTCATTTCTGCGACTGTTTCTGAACCACGATGGTGAAAGTGTTGGTAACAGCGCATGCTTGGGAGGGGGTGTGGGGGTGCCGACCTACTGTGATGATTTCGCGTCGTTATCAGCCATTATCTCTCCGAGAATTTCTATTGGATATACGTTGCTGGAGCTCCACCTTATATGCGTTACTGTTTCCTACTGACGCTTGTACAACTGGGCGGAGGTTTTGAGCTGAAGGGGACGGCTCATCGCCATGCGTTGAGTCTTGGGCACGGTAGGTGTGAAGTCTTATCGGTCGTCGGAGGTGCATTCGTTGCTGTATTGAATCTCATGAATACGTAGCTTATCTCGTTGGTGTGATAATCGTGGTGGCTTTCTTTGGAGTTTTGTGTCAGGACAAGTTGGATGGGAGGACCAGGCATCATACTACGCCCATCATGATCGATGCGATTTGGGAACCACCGAGACTATCAAGTTGATGATCAAACCCGGCCAGTATTCGTTGAATAATTGTGATGCCCCCGGGAAGAATTCCTTTCGGGATAAGAGCCATATTCCGAACAACCTCGCGATTCCCGGGGCACATGGCAAGGAGTGGTGTGTTGAATATTTCAAACAGCTGGGATTTACCCCCGGACAATCGCTGGAGTATACGAGGAAAGCTATATGTGATCCCAATACATGTAAGGAGTATGCTGTTAGAGAAGCGCTTACACTGGGCTCCAATAGAATAGCCTTTGTATAGAACATAGTCATCACGGAATTCCACATGTCTCCATTCATCCCTAGGGAATCGGGCTGTTCTGATATTAGTTTTATAGATACCCAAAAGACCACCACTACTGCAACACAAACAACAACAACAATTTCGAGTGAGTTATCCATGTGGAGTTCCAATAGACATCAGAGTATCAAGTGTTGATGTGTGCCAAGACCTTGAACGACAGCGGCAGGATTCGAACCTGCGCAGGCAGAGCCTAGTGGATTTCAAGTCCACCTCCTTAACCACTCGGACACGCTGTCGTATGGTGTTGGGATGTCTCATGCAGCTTCAGCACTGAGACACATCACGTATTCGCGAAGCCAGCGGAGCGTATGCTGCCACGCGCATTTTCGAAACTGATGTGCGCTGTGACGGAGAGCGAGCGGGAAATCCTCGGGAAAGGCCCCTGCCGCGAATCGAACCCGCGACCGTTACAAACATTTCAAACTCCGTTCCTTCGTCTCGGAGGCGTAGTGAAAAAAATCTTATGGAATGCTCACCTTCTGAGGAATCCCATTCTCAGCTTCATCTCTCTCAGAGCCAGTCGGATGGGAGGACCAGGCATCATACTACGCCCATCATGATCGATGCGATTTGGGAACTACAGAGACCATCAAATTAATGATCAAACCCGGCCAGTATTCGTTGAATAATTGTGATGCCCC